CCCCCCCCCCCCCCCCCCCCCCGCCACAACTGCCCCACTGAACACAGGAAGTTCTTACATTCATTCAGCAAAAGAACAGGCTAGGGGAGGGGCTGGGGTTTGGGGGGGGCGGGGGTGTAAGGGGAGGGTTTTGGACGCTGGGGGTCGGCCAGTTGGAAATAGGAAATCCGTCCAGCAGTAGAATAGCTCAAAGGCAAGCAGTTGAAATTCTGAGCTTGTTTCCACACTAAAGTTGCCAGTTTCGGTTTTACGGGGGTATTGCTCTTGTACCGTTGAATGTGGGTTTTTGAAGATGGTCTTACAGCTGCGGAAGTGTCTTTGGATGGAGGAATCTGCTTTTTCGGTTGAGTTACGGCTGGAAACGGATGGCACGAATTACCCGCCCAGGGGTGAGTGTCCCCTGGCCTTCTTAATGCTATGTCGTGCGTAAGTCCTCTGTTAAAAGAGAGAACTTACGAACGACGTAGCGTTAAGAAGGCTTTGGGAAACTCACCCCAGAAAGTGAAAGACAAATGTAGTATTTTGAAGGTAGGAGGCTTGCTGTTAAATCCTGTTAAAGGTGTCAGCCGTGTGTAGATAATGTAAACATGCATGATGATAATCTCGGTCACCCTCTCACTCCTTCTCCACGTCCACGGGAGGCGGTTCAGGTGACCGGTCCAGTGGAGCGCCGTCCTGGCGCCATTCGGTGGCCCGATCACCGGAAACGGCAAGAGGCCGGGGCGGGCCGTTAATCGCTGATGAATGGACCAGTCGGAGGAAACATTCATCACTAAAAACGTTGTGTACAGAGAGACAAATGGGGCGTGTTTCCGTGGCCGGTTGAGGTGGGTGGCCTGGCGGCTGCCCCCCCCCCCCCCCCCGCTCGGTTTGTCATGAGCTGGGCCTTGCATACTAAGCCAGTCCCTGGCTGAAGAAGCAGTCTTTTTATTTTGGGGGCCCTCTGTTGCGGGGGAGCCGTCCAATCAGCTGCTTCATGGGGATTCAAAGACGCAGTGGCCATTTGTCTCCCTCTTGGACGTCTGTTACTGCCGGTCGCCTGGGAATATTCCTCCACCACCACCCCCCCCCCCCCCCCCCCCCCCCCCCCCCCCCCCCCCCCGCCATCTCGCGGCACCATAGGCAGTGTTCATCCCCTGATTTGGGTTTGAAAAGATGGATCTCAGTTTTTACCTGATCTTAACTTGATAAGCAGCCTGCACCTTGTTCTGGTGTATGTGTGAAGGCATGTGAGGAATTTAACTGCCCCACACCCCATGTGAAGAAGAACCAGGGTCGGTCACAGGTTATGGGGCTGCTCCGTGCCCTCTTTGACCCCTTATTTGGCCTTAAGTTCAGCAGGTTGACCTCTGCTACTTGGAAATGTTTGGGAATCTCTTTCCTGATCCAACGTGTCGTCTGTCAGAGATGTTTCAGCATGAGGGATCTTCACTCGACCGCTATGCTCTGTTCCTCTGGCCCCACCCACATACCAAGGGAATTCCCACTGAGTACGAAGGGGAAAAGTTGGAAAAGGTGTTTAATTTCCCATCTGTTTCCATCACATCGGTTCACGAAGATCCGCTGACAAGTCAGGACAGAAGCTGTACAAGCAGGTGTTGAGGGTGGGATAAACATCTCACCTTAGAAGGGGGGGGGGGGGGGTTTATATTGTCCCTGAGGTCCGTCCTTCATGCTGAGATGCATTATGGGGGCCACACAGTGCCGCGCGTTCCCGTGACGGTTCCGGGTCGCTGTAAGCGGAAGCGGAGAGCCCCGCTAGCCTTAAAGATGGCGGCCGTGGCTTTGGGGATCGCCCGCAGTATTATGGGATGAATAGCGGGCATGTGCTTTGAGTGGCTCGCTCTTACCTGAAACTGGCCGAACAAAACGGAAGCACGTATTTAAGGAGAGATGAAGTGAATCGTTTCGGGCGAATAGAGCCCGGTGAATAATTTAGGGCGCATGTGGGCGCCTGCCATCTCAGCTTGCAGCTGGTATCGGGACGATGTGCGCTATCGCTCTGTGCTTATCGTGTCTTTTCTTCTCTGCTAGGGTGTGTGTGTCTATTTTTTATTATTTATTTTTTTTATAAAGTTTACCAACAGGATTTCTGAACTCATACCAAATGGTCACACTGGCTGATTTTTTTTTTTAAATGGTATTCTGGAGGGTTTTTTAACACTAATATTTAAGGTATATAGTGATTGTTAAATTTTGAAGTCCTCCCCCCCACCCCAAAAACAACATTGCTGTAGAATGTCCTATATATAACTGGAAAGCCATTAAAGTCTAAAATCCTAATCCCGTATTGTCTTTATTATTTATTGTTTTGTTTTATTTTTTACCCAGAATCCTCCAGCTATTGATTTTCTTTGAACAAAGCCGCAATCGATCTGGTCAAACAGAAGCTGGTCTCCCATAGGTGCCCATTGCGCAGTTTTAATAGTGTGTCCCCTGGATGCCCCCCCCCCAGGGGCAAGGCAGGGCTGGGCCGACTCATTGTGGGGGGGGATTGAGCTTGTCCCCCCCCCCCCCTGCTTTGAAAAAATAAATTATTTTTTTTTTGTTAACCTTTTTTAAATTTGGGGGGGATTGTGGG